TTTTTTTTTTTGTACTGGGGGTCGAACTCAGGTCCTTGTGCTTGCAAGGCAGGCGGCAGAACCACTGAGCTAAGTCCCCAGCCCAGAAATTGAATTTTTCCAGTGTGAGTTTTTCAAATATAGAATAGCAATGTTGGGTTTATAGACTTTTCCTCTGACCTGTGGATCGTGTACAGAGAATGTGATTTGAAATGACCAGCGATTTGTTTATATTCCTTAGGCCACCACACCATCTACATTGGAGTCCATGTGCCCAAGAGCTACCGCAGAAGGAGACGTCACAAGAGGAAGACAGGACACAAGGAAAAGAAGGAAAAGGAGCGGATCTCTGAGAACTACTCTGACAAGTCAGATGTGGAAAATGCTGATGAATCCAGTAGTAGCATCCTGAAACCACTCAGTGAGTACGCTGGGCTGTTGCCCTTTCTGCTTTACTCCCCACCCTTGGAAACAACACTTTCCAGAATGCTCTAGCTAACATGGGGAAACACAGCCATCCCAAGGTGGTCTGCCCTGAAGGATAATGTCTGTGGAGATGCGCAGCAGGCTGATATAGGCAGCATCTAGAAGAGTCGGAGCTGATCAGAAGAGATCTAACAAAGGTTAGGCAGAGTTGGGTGTGTACAGTGACAAGTAAAACAGGGTACAGTGTTTCCAGTGGCACTGAACTATCGAAACTAGCAGTGACTGGAAGGCTCTCCAGAGCTTTTTGGATGACTGCAGCTTAGAAGCAAGTTCTCTTGAGACTCCAGGTTAAGGTAAAAGTGTACGTGCCTACGGATGTATCCAAATGCAGGGTCACAGGCCACATTTGAATAGCTCATGGCCCGGGCAATGATGTAGACAGGAATAATAGAGAAGCTTCCTGTACTTCAGAGAGGGACATGCAATGACAGGTCCTGAAATGCGGAACATGGTTACTTGTCACACATTGTTAAAAAGCAGACTAAGGACAAAAAGAGGTCAGAGAACACCTTGGGACTCAAGTGACGGGTGGACCGTGTGTAGGCATATGCTTGTTACGTTTTATGTCTTTTTAATGCGGGGAATATTTGGCTGTATGGGTAGCCTTATGGCAGAGTAGCAATGACTAAGTACAGTAGAGATACATGCCAGTGTGTCAGTCAGTGCTCACTAGAGAAACAGATTTAATGTGAGATATATAAATATGTCAGGATTTACAAGGTAGGCTTACAGTGGCTGCCCGCGGAGTCAAGAGTGAAGAGTGTAGAAGGATCCGGTTGAAGGTCACAGGCCTGGGCTCACTGTAGTGTCCCATGCGGGTCCATATCAGGAGGCTGAAGGCTCTGTCTCAGAAGCCAGAAGTCCAAGGTGAGGGTGAAGAATGGAGCTCCTCTGAAGAAGCAGAAATGATTTTTCCTCCTTTGTTTCCCTCTCATTCCGTTCAGGTGACGAGCCTATTGGCTGGTGCAACTCACACCCTGGGGGTGGGTCTTCTGTCTTCAATAAATCCCTTCAGCCACACCAGAGCTATGCTAGACCCATTTAGTTGGGTGCTCCTTACTCAAGCCGACATAGTCAGTTCACTATCAGACAGCTCAGAGAGACTCTCCAAGAGGAGCCAGGCACCGACATCTCTCCATTGGGCAGAGCTCAGTGCCTTCTCCACCTCTTCCCTGCAGTTCCAGAAATGTGGGCCCTGCTGTAAGATGCACTAAGGGTCATGCAGAGGAAGCTGAGTTGCATCATTTCTGGTGATGACAGGCCGAATCAGAAGGCACGGCTCAGAAATGCTGAACAAGTGAGCTTCAGAATGAGATGAAAGCAGGCATGAAGTATAGTGATGGGAATCTTTCACAGCCCTTTAATTGGAACTGAGCAGGCAGCTCAGAGAACCAAAGATTGAACATTGGAGGACAATTGGGAGATGGACCATTAAACACAAAAAAATTGTTAGAATAAATGTGAGACTTGGAAGGGAACAGAGGGCAAAAGACTTAAATTCTATACTTTTCATTGGACTGTCAGGGGAAATTCTTTCTGAAAGAGACCATTCATGTGTCAGTTAAATTATGGGATCTGTTGTGAGCAAAGTCCTTGAGATGCATATAGAAAAGGCCTCAGTTACTAGTCTGGAGGAACGAAAGTTAACATCACTTTCCAAATAAATTACTGCAGTTTATCTCTGTTTATTGTCTGTTTTTGGCAGGGCCTGAGGCAGTGTCATGGAGACTCTCCTCCCCTCTTCTTATGCACATGGATTGTGCTTTTCCACTCCGTCACCATCTCCCTTACAAGTTATCTCTCCTGTGCAGTCCCATAGCAAGTATTGAAAAACAGAGACACCCAAGACAGCTGGGCCAAGGGGTTGAGATGCTGACTATGGACCAGCATTTCAGGAAGGGCAATGGAGGTGGTGCCAGGCCAGTGTAGACGGATGATCAGGAATGAACAGCTCAGAAAGACATTGAATCTGACGTGTGTCAGCCATGGACAGTGCTGCTTTCTGGTGTTTGGGGACCAGTTGGAGTGCAGCATGTAAAATAAACAAGGTAGTTCGTTGACGGTAGACTCTGGAGATCTCCTCCTGGGAGATGTTGCTTATACTGCGTGCTGGGTTTCCCAGCATGTCTATGGAAAAAAAGTTCTTAAGGACTGAACAGGATAATATTACTTATAAATTTGCATTTCATGGTTGTCTTTTCCTGCTGGTCAGTATGCAGTACTGTAATACGCCTTTGAGATTTTGACATGAGGCATCCAAATTGGCATAAAGGTCTATAGCAATCTATGCTTATTTTCTGTGCTGTTTGTCCTGGAGACTAGAGAGATTAGTAGTTGGTTTATATGGTGCAGCTTTACTTAAAGGTCAGAACTGTTACACCCAGATTTGGAAAAACGATTACTCCTATGGCTGTGGCACCAACCTGACTATAGGGAAAAAGTCACGTACTGAAGTATCTGCCTAATGTGCCTCTGTGACTTCTCAAGAACACCACACATGGATCCTGTTATTCTTGTACCAAGGCTGCTTGGGTTACTGGTGTCTGTAGATAGACATAATGTGTCTTGCAGTCCTACGTGGGCCACACATACATCCTGTGATGCTAATATTTTCTTTTGAAAAAAGTTTTAGTCAACTCACGTTTGGATGGTGACTTAATGTGGGCCATGTTTGTTTGTTTTTTCTCCTTTGCTTTTTTTCTTCTAGCAATTTCCGTTGCTTCTGCTTCTAAATTGTGAGCCTGTCTATCCTTGCTCAGTCTTGGTGCTTCCTTTTGGTAGGGAATTTTCATCTCGTGCTTATATAACAGAACAGGCCTTGCTTTTGAAGTCTTTCTCCGCATGGATGTGACATGATTATGTAAACCATTCTGAAACTGTCCTTTGCTGCTAGAATACAATCTTAGTTGGGCACCTTGGCCTGTGGTGTCTCAGCAGCCCCATTTTGTGCCATTCTCTCCTTTATTCCAGTCACTTTTAGTTCTTGGTGCTCAAACTTTTTCCAGCTCAAGGTGTTTACGTTTGGGAGCCTGTCTTCTTAGAGCAGTTATCTGTTCTTTTCCTGGTCAGCTTTTCTCCTTATTTTTCAGCTTTTAAATTTGACCTTGTCAGAGAGGCCTTTCTTTGCTGCTCTTTCTAGTACAAGTGCCTGAAAGTTATTATTTTTGAGCTCCTCACCGGAGCTGAAACTTGCAGCTTTTGCAGCCTACATTTTTTTCTGGAGGTCATGCTGGTGGTGCGCTCCTTGAGAGCAAGGATTGTGTTGTTTTGCTCATTATCATCTCTGGCCCCTTGTACATTGCCTGAAATGCAATCTGTGCTCAGTGCCAGTTCACTGAAGAGTAATTGGGCAAGTGAATATGGGAGAGTAAATCACAAACACTTTTTATTGGTCTAAATATTTCCCACGTTCTAGATGAAGACCTTGCTGATTTTCTGTCTTAAAGCTTTACATACATCTTTCTATTTCCCCACTTAGCCTTCTTCCCATGCCATGTAAAAGCTGGTCCTAACTTTTCATTATTCCATTTTGGAAAGTACCTCATTATTCCAGCTATTACCACATAGGGTGTGATATGAGTATATGACTCCTGAGTGCGTGGAGGTGCTTGTTACCCAGAGGCAGTGGAAGAAATCGATCTGCAGGGCACATAGGTCCATCAAGTACACTTACAAATGCTTACAGTTCCACCCAGAACCCAGGCAACTCTGGTGCAGAGCCACACTCCAGAGGCATAGAATTGAGGAAGAAAAGGCATTTCTAACATGAAATAGACCACATGTCTTCCATTCCTGAGGCATATCAGGAAGATGGCCTAATTAACGGGTTCATTAAACCTGAGAACAGAGATCTTATTTTCTCCATTGCTCTGGTGTCAAGGAAGGGTTTCTCAAAGTGCATGTGTGTTGGATTTGTCCACATTTGGAGCATCGAGGGAGGAAGCCAGCTTGCTTCGTGCTCCTGTAGAGCTCAGCAGCAGCTCAGTCCTTGCCCAGCTGCAGTCCCAGAGTGGCATCAGAGCCAGTGTCCCAGCTGGGCACGCAGAGAAGGAAATGTGTGTGAGGGGGGAGAGAGGCTGGGGAAGAAAAGTGAACTGGAGGAGCAGGCGGGAGGAGAGACGAGAGAATGTGGAGGCGGTGTGCAGTGGGCGGTGGAGAGAAAAGTTAGATTGTGCTCTTTCTTAAAAATAATCCCTTTGCCTCCTCCACCTTGCACTTTTTCCCCCCTAAGTTAGCAGCTGCCATCCTCCGAGGGTTGCCCAGAAAGAGAGTAGGAAGATGGTCCTGCCTGTTTCTGGCTTACCAACCTGGGGGTTTGATCTCTGCATTTCTCACTCAGCATCCTGGGTTGCTTGGGCACTGGAGGCCACCTGGGTCCTGCAGACACTCTGCAGAGTGTGAACTGTTAGAAGACAGCCACGAGCAGGACACCCTGCTCCCTTTTGATCTCTGGGGATGATCTCTTGACAGGCTAGAGCCTGCCTCGGTGTCGGGAGGCGGAGCTGCCTCGTGCATACAAGTCTCAGGGTAGCAGCATCGGGTGCTGGGCATGGGCATGGGCGTGCAATACCCATTCATTATGACCGAGCTCTCTCTCAGCTCCTGGATGTGTACCAGAGCTGACAGGTTTGTGCTGGTGAACATTGTTCTGGGAGCCTGGGACAGTGGATGCCAGTTGGTGATCCAGTTATATTCAGGAAACTGAAACAGAGAAATGGGCAGCTGCTTTTGTTTGGGTCTTCCGGGTAAATGAACAGAGTAGCTTTTCACAGGAGCCAAGAATATTTGGTGTTTTGTCATTTGACTTCCCCTTTTCCCAGTGCACACCCCAGTGCCCTCCCTCAGCCTGACCTCATGTTTCTTAGTACGTTTCTCTTTTTCCTTGAGTTTAAAAATCTTTTAGGCAAGACTCTTACTTTGATATCATAAAATAAG